CCAAATAGAACCGATGGCAATAGTGCGTTTTTTTCGGTCCCATCATTTAGTATGCGAGACGTACGAATTTGTATGACCCTTTTTGAAATTCGTACGACCTCCCTTCCAAGTACAAATGTCGTTCCTAACATTTAAGCATTTCTCCAGCACCCCCCCCAAATAGAACCGATGGCAATAGTGCGTTTTTTTCGGTCCCATCATTTAGTATGCCAGACGTACGAATTTGTATGACAATTTTCGAAATTCGTACGACCTCCCTTCCAAGTACAAATGTCGTTCCTAACATTTAAGCATTTCTCCAGCACCCCCCAAATAGAACCGACTAAAGTTAAACCGATTAAAGTTCCAACAAACGATGCGGTATTGCGGTGTAAAATATAATACCTATCATGATAGTATGATATATAAAATTAACGTAAAACATTAAAGTCGGTTCTGTTGATTTACAAAGTAAACAAATATTTTATGAAATATTTAACAGTAGCTATAAATACTTTTTAAAAGTATTTGTATTTTGACTCTAATACTTATTTGCCAAGTATTCAAATAGGTACGTATTTTCAGTATGTACTCTTCAAAATAAATACGTGTATCTGTACTTGAATACTTATAAAAGTATCATTTATAAGAAAGTCTGTATTTAGGTTAAATAATAAAGCTTAACATTATTCCAAAAATACTGAAACTCTCCAACCATTAATTTATTATTTTGTAATAAATTGTACAAAACAATAATTTTTAGGGTAATTTTATTAATATTATATAATATATTTACTAATTAGTAGATACCCACTACATACTCCAAGTATGAAGTATGAACATTAATGATTTTAAGAAAATCTAACTTGCTAATTATTTGCTCAATGTTAATATGGGTTAGATTGGTTCGAGAGAAATTGGGTCACTAAACTCCTAAACTGATGACATTTTGTCTATGGGTTTGTGTGCGTCCCTGAATGGTTTAGATTTACAATAAGTTGGAACCGGCAGGTATTATACTTGTAAATGTTGAGTGATATTTATGTAATTAAGTTTATTGCATTGTAGGTACAATAAATTGGACCTGGCAAGTACAACCCCGAAAGGTGCTCACACAAAGATTTTGAGATTTACGATAGAAATCGAAAATTTTGTATATGTATAAATGGTTACTATTAATTGGTTACAGCTTACAGTTTATGATATTAGGTATACTAAAAGTAGAAATTATTAGTAGAATTTAGCATTTTTTGTTTTTCTAAATGATTACAATTATTATTTATTTACATATTATATTGATATTATAGGTAATTAGAAGAAACATTGCATAATATACACTTTGTACAAATATAATTACAAATATTTGGCTTGGACAACGTCGGGCGGGACAGCTTGTAATATAGTGCAATCATAAATTATTTCTATTGTATTGTTGATTTTTAAGTGAAAAAAGTTATACTTTTAAATGTGTGATATTTATGTAGTTAAGTTTATTACACATACCTACTACCTTCTCTATAATATCAAGTGCTTATAAGATTATATAATAATAAATTGTATCTATTGTATTCATTGGTACAAATAGCATTTAAGATTGGGGGGGAGGCTGCTATAAAGTAATATAAAATATTGAATATAATTGAAAATACTTTGGGTAATGTATGAGGGTTGACATTTTTCGAGCTTAGCCCTTAAAGCCTCCTTTTTGCTCATGTGATTCTTTCTAATAATACATCTATAAATGGATAGGAATGTATTAATTATTATTTATCATATCTTTAAGTAGGTAAGTGTCTTAACTAAACACACATGGGTTAATAATTTTTTAACACTCGCAAATCACAAGAACTAAAATAAAAAACAATTTTTCTGATCAACATATGTTTTCATTTCCAAAGCACATAGAAAAGATGGACAGCACCTCCAGGATTGGTATAACCTCTATGGTGTTAGGTCGTAGGTACAATGGTTGAGTTACAAATATTTTTTTAATACTTGGCAATCACCCAAATTCAAAAAAATAACTAGTTTTCTTAACTATCGTTTTTGAAAACAAGCATACAAATTCGTACGTCTCGCATACTAAATGATGGGACCAAAAAAACCACTCTATTGCCATCGGTTCTATTTGGGGGGTGCTGGAGAAATGCCCAAATGTTAGAAACGACATTTGTACTTGGAAGGGAGGTCGTACGAATTTCGAAAAGGGTCATACAAATTCGTACGTCTCGCATACTAAATGATGGGACCGAAAAAAACGCACTATTGCCATCGGTTCTATTTGGGGGGGTGCTGGAGAAATGCTTAAATGTTAGGAACGACATTTGTACTTGGAAGGGAGGTCGTACGAATTTCAAAAAGGGTCATACAAATTCGTACGTCTCGCATACTAAATGATGGGACCGAAAAAAACGCACTATTGCCATCGGTTCTATTTGGGGGGGGGGGGGCTGGAGAAATGCTTAAATGTTAGGAACGACATTTGTACTTGGAAGGGAGGTCGTACGAATTTCAAAAAGGGTCATACAAATTCGTACGTCTCGCATACTAAATGATGGGACCGAAAAAAACGCACTATTGCCATCGGTTCTATTTGGGGGGGTGCTGGAGAAATGCTTAAATGTTAGGAACGACATTTGTACTTGGAAGGGAGGTCGTACGAATTTCAAAAAGGGTCATACAAATTCGTACGTCTCGCATACTAAATGATGAGACCGAAAAACACTTTTCATTTTTAAGTTAATCTTTATCATACAATGTACCTAAGTTTCGATATAAAAATGTATGTATAAAGTATGCAGCAATAATTGTTTTTTTTTACCAATAAATTACAATACTTAATGAATTGTTGCTATATTGCTTTCAAATTGTATGTAATGAAGTCCAGTTTTTATGACAATATATTCAAATTTGGTTTATACAGTTTTTCTAAAATATATTGCTATAATATACCATCACTAAGAAAAGTAATTAATTGAAAGTTTAAGTTTTTGTTTAATTTGTTAAATTGTTAAATATATATATAGTCTTGTTTAACCTAAAAGTGTTATAAACTATAATAATTTGTTTAGGACTTGTATTTGGAAATGAATTATGAAGGTTAAAGACATTTTTCTCAAATTTACTTCTTACAAAATAAGTACCTACCTATAAAATATAGTCACTAAAATAAAGCAACCTATTGCACTTGAGTGTAACTTAGTATCCATCCATATATATACCTGAAATTTAATGTACCTAATATGATTAAAATGAAGGATTTGTCATTTGTGCCTGAATGGTAATACAAAAAACACGTGTGGTTGAATGTACCTCATTTAAATCAGAGCCATCATACACAAATCAGTATAATTTTTAATTTATCTTTATGTGCCAATGATTATATAGTAATTTACACTTTTCATTTTTAAGTTAATCATTATCATACAATGTAAGTTTTGATATAAAAATGTATGTATAAATTAGGCTATTAATTTATTATTAATTTGTAATCCCTAAGTATATAAAATTATTGCTATATTGATTTCATTTTAAGTGTAGCATTTCATAATAATATATTGAAATTTGGTTTAAAGTATGTTACTATAATATACCATCACCAATACAATACTACGTAGGTACCTAATAATATTATAGCGTTTTGAGTCTAATGTCATAATATTTATTAATATTATTTTTTGTTTTTTTAACATTTATTAGAATATATTCAATCTGTAACGGTTACAATAAGCATATGAGCGTGAACAAAACAAAAATAAATACCTATACAGAACTTGAAGTCTTAAGTGTAGTAGCCTCCTGCTACTTAGCAGTAACACTAAAATAGTATTTATTAAAATTAAAAAATAAGTCGCATATTTTTCTTGCATTCTCATTTATTAATATTGTAAAATTTAACACAAGCAATGATTAATATTTTAATAGTTGTACACATTTATCATTCATTGAGATTAAGTTATACTAGAGTTTGAACACCTGTCACCTATATATGATATTTAAATACCCTAAACTTAGTTTTATATAATTTGTATAAGCACTAAAAGTTATATAATAATAATATGCTATTGTTAAAGGAAATGCCTAATGGCCAATAATACATTTTGTGTTGATGTGTACTGATTGCAATAATTTTCTTATAATTACCTATAAATTATATTTCTGTAATGTGTAATTTCCAAGTCACCCAAGAGGTATACACATGACTCGTTTCTTATTTTTTCATTTATTTTTAACCCTGTACATGTGCTCAATCTCATTACAATCTACACACTGCAGGGTTAAAAGCGGTGAAAAGTTCCCCAATAGGCCTAAAAAAACACCACAGTTCATTATTTACATTACAATATTCGCTTTTTAAGTACTTATACGATTATGGGACATTGGTGGACTACATAGATAATTAAATCAGAAATTGTTTGAAATTATACTATAAGGAGTACCTATACTTCAATAATATAGGAGTGTTATTACATAAAAAAATTTACTGATTAAGAAAAAAAATTGTTTAAGCTATTTATTTCAGATTGTTATTGGTTAAAGTAAATTTTAATTTGCCAGACTACATCTGTTAACAATGTTTATTATTTTCCTTTATTAGTAATGCTTATTTTTAAAAATGTATAGATATTCAATAATGAAAAATTTGAATCGGAAATGTTCTAAAATCTAAATAGCTTTTAATGAATATTATGTTTCTAATGGAGGTTTAATTAAAATGGATAAATTAGACAACATCTATTAGGTACTTAATTAATATTAATATGTTATGTTACACTTTTAAACATGGGGATAAATGATTTTTGTACATAAATGAGCCCATAGTTGAAATCATATGATAACACTACTACTCAAAGTATAAAGCTATGTAAGTAAATATCTCAACCATAATACAAAATTGCATTATTAACACTATATCCAATCACCTCTAAATACCAAAAACATATTATTTAGGTGTGATGAGAAATTCATGTTATGCAATCAAAATAACGTCATGAATAACTCAATTTATGTATAGAAATCTATTATTCACTGAATTGTTCATCTTCACATCTGGGGAATGTGTATGAGTCGATTGGCAATTCTTTAGTTGCATTTATTCCGACACATGACCAATGTAACCAGTGGTTACCATTTTTGCAATAAACCCATTGCTTTGTAATGTTGTGCGAATTATCAGAAGTATTCTTCTTTTCACATACACTACACTCTACAGATTGCCAATATGTACTAGCAATTTGGCCAAGATATGTCATTGCATCTCCACGAAATGGGATTTCTTTTGAAACTGATTCTTGGATATTAATGGTGCATTTAAAAAGAAATTTCTTAAATTTTAACTTATCAAAGTCATATTCATTGGGTAATGTGGAATTTTTATGCATATACTCCAATATTTTATCCTTAATGTGTATTCGATATTCCTCCAAGTTACCGTTTATTGGAATTGTATAAGAAGAATTGTCCCCTAAAATAATTGCTTCTCCAAACATGCATGCATAAGCTCCACAATTGTAACCATTTGTTTGCCGATAAACACCTGGTGCATAATAGCTATATCGATTTTCATCAAATTCTTGGTCATTGAAGTTGGCATATAACTTGAATATTTTCATAACAAAACTTAAGTCTTTCCGTTTTACTAAACCCAAACTATCTAGATATAATACAGTATACAGTTTGGTCAAAACAACAATTACATAACAATGACTATTCTTACAAACTGGAAAGAAAACAACATCATTATCTGGCACTTTCCGACACAGAAATTCTCTTAGCCCAGTTTTCAACATTTGTAATTCATTTTCATCATTGTGACTAACGATTATGTCTTCACAAGTGTACATTGTCACTTCAGTTCCTATTCTTTCATGGCAAAGTATAGACAAGTAAGCACATATGGTAGAACCATACATGTATAGGTCAATATCATTATAACCATCCATTATTTTCTTAGATAATGGTGCCAGATTATTCTCGTGCACTTGCACTCCACAAACATTATATGCTCTATCCAATTTGGTCCGTTTAGTGCTCAAGTTCAGTTTTTTTTTGAACCAGTTACCTCAGAATATTTAAGTGGGTTTTCTATCGGACTGAATTCAATAGATCGCTCAAACAGGTCTCGCTTAATAGACGACAACTTGTTCGATCCATTTTTCTTGGGCGTAGACTGTTCATTAAATAGGTTCATATTTTTTGGAGTCACCTCAATTTCTTCATCATCATTTTTCGTTGACATACACTGCACAAACCGCTTTTTAACCGAGTTGCTTGTTGGTGTGACAGTTGGTATCATACAAATTTTAGTCAAATCTTTTTTGGACTGGGAAAACAATTCTGAATCATCTGCTGCTTCCAAGATAGTAACATTCTTGGGTAATTTTTTCCTTCCGGCAGTATAACCACGCCTCTTACGTTCCAAAGTATGTAGTTTGACATTGTTTTGCATAACATCCATATGGTTAATTGAATATTTAACTGCTTCAATATGGTGACAATTTGTTTTTAACTTGCATGTACATGAATCTTTTTTATTGCCATTCAATTTCACCAGGTATTCTTCTTTTTCACCTTTAACTATAAAACATTGAAGTTGGGGCACATGTACAATTCTATTTTGCAAAATTAATCGTTTTGCCAATGAAAATGTGCTATATTCTTCTTCATCACCTTCCAACTGCTTGCTTCTCATGTCTTTATTCATGAAACAATATGGGATGTCTTTAAGATCTATCGAACATTTAGGATATTCTGCATTCATTGGGTTTACATAAAGGTCATCAACATAATAGGTTTTTAATTTATAATCACCAAGCTTACTGTATCCTCGTACAATTTCCTTGTTATAATATTGATACAGTTCGTACATTGAAAGTATACAAACTTGTGCTTTAACCTCCTTTGTAAATAAACGTTTCAATACCGAATTAAAGCTTTCAGAGGGATTGTTAGTAATGCCCGTCCTCTCTTTATAAATGTTTACTTCTGGGCTATTCAAAATCCACTTGCCACTTGTCATTATATCATCCTTAAGGTACGAATCGAAATACTTGGCAAATTCTTTTGTCCAAGTGTCAGCCATTTTTTCATATTTCAAGAGGAACTGCTCTTCGTTTTCACTGTCTAATAGATCCCAAACATTATTTTTGTAAATGTCTTCATCACTGTCTTCGCCATGTTTTTTTTTCTTTACCCAATATTCAACATCTCGCAGTATGTGGTTCCAACAATAATATAAACTGACGTTTGGCAATGAAGATTGTAGTGCTTTTGTTATACCAGCTTCACTGTCTGTTACAAACTTTAATCCACATATTTCTATGGCTTTACACTTGGTCTTGAAAGTCTCAAAAAATAATTTATGCACATCAGTTTTTTTTGAATGGTGAAGCATGCCTGCCGATGGAATAACAGGTCCTTTTCAAATGCAGGGTGCTTATATACAAGAAGTGACACATAGAAATCCCCAATGTTGAACGTTGTGTCGTAATGAAGAACGAATTCAGGCATATGAATTACTTCATCAAACAAGATCATCATGGGCATGGTGAAAAAAACTACAACAAACTCTGGAATTAACTGCATGACATGAATATACTCAGGTATTTCATTATGTGTTAGATACAGCCAAATTACATCATCGTTGGATAACAAACGCTTTTTACTCTCATTCCCTATAGAGTTCGCACACTGTTTGGCATCTCTTGGAGGCAACACAGGAATCAAAGCTGGGGGAACATCGATTTGTGTACGTTTTCTATATACTTTTTTAGGCTGCTCTT